TCTGCGCCTCCGCCGCCACCAGCAGCAGCAGCAGCAGCAGCGCCAGCAGCAGGGACGTCCAAGTCAGTAAGGCCTTATGCAAGAGGCCCCAACGTTTCTGCGACGCGGAGTGAACCAGTCTATGTGCCGATCGTAGAGCGCTATGGATCCGGTGGGGATCATCACGAGGCACATCAACGAATGCCCGCGGGGGTGGATAAGGCGCCATCGACAAAGGAATATTCTTGCGTCTGTGTAGGGGCGAATGACGCCGGTGAAGAAAATAGGGCTGGATATTTCACACCACCGCCTGCTGGTACGGTTCTTCCTCCGCCTGCTGGTACGGTTCCTACTCCGCCTGCTGGTACGGTTCCTACTCCGCCTGCTGGTACGGTTCCTACTCCGCCTCCCTCACCAAGACAGTGGCAGGGCGAGCCTCTCATTATCGATTTGGACAGTCAACCTCCCCCATCGGGGAGCACAGGGCCCTCAGCCCTCCTTACACGGGCCGAAGGAAGGAGTGGGTGTCTCGTAGGTGCCCAGAGGATGGAGGAGGGGACACCGCCACAGCAGTACTTCGCTGCCTTGGCCGCTATCGACGCTGAACTGCAGCAGCGCCGCGGGATTTTAAAGTGTACTGTCGCGTTTGCTCCAACCACACACGACACACGTTGCGACCTCAGTTTCCCAATGCAACATCCTGCAACCGATTTGCCGTGCCACGAAGAGGACGCTACGATGCAGGCCCCGGATGGTGAGTTCACCCCTAATTTCCGCGAAATGGGCACGAAAGAGTCTGCTTGGGCCGCGGAGGCGACCAAGCTTGAGGAGCAACTGGGGCCTTCTCAGCCACCAGCACACACCACCACATTTGGTGGCCTTGTGTCTCCTTTACGTGCCGTCCAACATACACCCAGCTCCATACTGTTGAACTCTAAGCACTGGGCTCCGGAGGGGGTCCAAGGACAGACAGAAGAAGAGCAAGAAGACAGCGCCACCAACAGTGATTTTGAGATGTTGACTCCGGAGGAACAACAGCTGCTGGCGGATCTTAGACGGGCATTGAGTCGAAAAAGGTAGATGCCCTGGTCTGATCCTCCTGTCGTATTGCAAGAAGCAATTCCTGAAAGGGTTGCTTGTATCGATGTGGATATTATGGTTATTTTATGTTAGCTTACATAAAGCTGTAAAGGGCTGAGGGAGAGAAATAGTGAGTCAGCACTTCATTTATATTGCAGGACAAAGAAGTGCGAGCTGACTTGAGAAGCTGCTTGGAAAGCAAGCAGCAGTATCTTGAGAAGATGTCAGTTGTGGACTTGGAATCTGAGCCCGGCGTATATATTTATTTTTTGTTGTTCCCTTTTTTTTTTTTCTTTCTTTTTTTTTTCTTCCGAATTTTGTGTCAAAGAAAAAAAAACAAAAGAAGTAAACTGACTCACCTTTTTACCGGGGCGCACACGTGCGTAAGGGCGTATACAGAGAGAGAGAGAGAGAGAGAGACGGACATGCACGCTTCTTTTAATGAGTACCACGATTATTACTTGTAATGACGAGAATGATAATGAATTTTCCCTTTCCACTTTTTGTCTTATGTGTCTTAAGGGAGTGATGCGCTCGCGAAGGGTGGGCGACCGCTAGGCTCACTTATTTGCAGCGGCATACTGTAAAGCGTTTGCCCTCACCTTTGCCCTGCCAATGACGACACACCAAAACAGCAAAACGATACAGATACGAGCCTGTTGATTTATTCAATGAATTCTCTGTTTGGCATCGCAACGTGTTTGAGGAACGATGTTGTCAGTTCTGCGGGAGACGGCGCGTGTGGCACACCATTGTTTGCTTTATACTTATGTCCAGCATGACTCAATCCTCCCTGTCTCCTTCATTCGTCGATTCATCCACGTCTTCTGCCCTTGAGGCGCTATCAATCGCGGGGATGTTTGGTGGGGTGCGCCGTGATTGTTGGCTAACTGACTGCTGTCGCTGGTAGCAGCGGGGGCTGAGTGGTGTTTGCTCCGGGGGGAAGGGGAGAAGGTGTGCGTTTGACGGGGCGGGGGGATCAGGAGCCGAGCGATGCGCCTGGCCGGATGCGTACTGCCATCACAGTTGGCGGTGCCCATTTGGCTGCCCATTCCCTAACCCTAAGCTCCTGAGTAGCGCTGTCGGCAATTGCCGGCGGCGGCGCAGCCTGGTGTCGCTCGGCGTTGTCTCCTTTTCGTTTAAGCATATCCTTCACCTTCTCCGCACTTACCCACTTGCAGTTAGTCAGCGCTTGGCCTCCCTGCTCCATGCTTCCACGCGAGGCTCCTTGCTTGAAAGGGTGGAACGCGGTGAGGTGGTGTATCGTCTCCTTGACGCCAGTTGTGGCCGTTGGAGTGAATGAAGAGGAGCAGCAAAAACAGTAAAAGAAAAATTAAAATGTTGGATCAGTGGTGACCGCATCTGCGGTGTCTTCTCTCTTCCCCCCTCCTACTGCTCTTGCACCTTTGTCGGCTCTTCTGCTGCGGCGCCTTGCAGTGTGTTGTTTCTCCTTTTACCGGCCCCTTTACAGCCACCTTAGAAGGAATGGCACGTTGCTTGGTGCGGCGGTGAAAGATGACAGAACGGCGTGGGCTTTGGGCGGGTGGCTGTGGCATTGTTTTCTCCTGCACACTCCATAACTCTGAGGCAGTTGCCGTCGCGTCACATCTTTCCCTCTGTCTCCTCACCCATCCCTTCTTTTCATTCACTCCGACCGGTCAGGCGGGGGGGGGGGTGCGTGTGAGGGATTTGGTGATATTCCTCACGCTAACCTTTGCGCGTTTTCCCCTTGCAGAGCAAAAAGAAAAGCGAAAAAACAAAGTCATGGTGAAGGGAAAAATAGTAATATATATGTATATATATTTATTTCCTCCAGTCACTTTATTTTATGATTTTTTATTGTTGGTATTGTCCACATTGCAGCCTCTATTATTTCTCGACGTTCATACTTTTTTTTTACTTCTTTGGTTGTTGTTACTGGTGGTGGGGATGAGGGATTGCAAGCGAGGAAAGATATTTTCCGTTGGTTGTTCGCAGGGAAAGCAGACAATCCATCAACTACAGCGCAATGGACCATGATGATAAAGACTCTAATAATCATGACAAAAATGGCAGCATGTATCCGTCACAAACCAGGTGGGGAGATCAGCGGCATGTTCCATTCTCTCGCTACTGCGCAAGCAGCGTCTTTACCACTCCTTTGAGAGTTGGCTCTCCCTTGGAGAGCAATGTCGTTCCATCCTCTACTGGCAGTGGCAGGGATAGTCCCCCTATGGAGGTCTTGCCCGATGAATGCAATGAGGAAAAAAACGCGATGACGATGTGCAGCGAATTGTGCGACACGAGTGTACAGCAAAATATAGCACGCTCGTGTTCCCCTATTTATTTCTCAAACAACCAATTGAAGTCTGAAACACGCTCTGGCTACCAAAGTGAACTTTTGGTCTTTCCACTTCCGTCCGGGAAGGGCCTTCCTGTTCTTGAGGAAGTCACTGCGTTGCCGGAAGAAACGGAAACGAAGCGTGCATTGGCTGAAGCGGGGGCTACACGAGAAGGTCTTGTGAAGAAAACGGGGGGGCACCCGCTCTTGGAGGATCAATTAGGCGCCTTTTCTAATGTTCCAACTGAAGATACAAAAGATGCTGAATTTAATAAAATTGCTACGGAGGCTTTCAATGGATTAAGCAGCGACAATCGGCGGTTTGAGCTTCTTCAGTTGTTTTGGAATATGTACTTTCAGCCATTTGAGCGGAATCGCTCGTACACTGGAGACACGTGGGATGAGTTCAAACGAATTGGACACAGCGACACTTGCTGCGGCTTTGAATTTGATCGTGAGAGGTTTTCCATGCACGTTACGGTAATGCGACGAAAGTACCGTTTTTTCCCGTTTTCGTTTTTACTTCGTGCAATTTTCCTTGTTTTGTTTTGGACAATTATGTATTCATACACAGCAAAGCCTTTCTTACCTGGAGGGCTTTACTTTGATACCATCGCCACCGTCCTTTTCTCAGGTCTCGTAGGATGCTTTATCGCACGGTTTCTACCTGTGCCTTCGCTTGTATTTATTATTGCCGCTGGGTTTTTGTACGGTAACATACCTCGTACTGCATATCTGACTTCTGGTATTACGATGCCGATGCGTAACTTTATCAACACACTTTCAGTAGCAGTGGGGGTTATTCGCTCTGGACTCTCGATAAACCTTAACTCATTGCGAAAACGCTTGATCCCCTACCTTGCCTTTGGTGTTTTGCCCTTGTTCTCTGAGGCGCTTGTTCACGGGTTTTTGTGTAAAGTGGCGTACAATTACCCAAATTATATTTGGGCTATGATGCAAGGATTCCTGGTCTCCGCTGTTGCCCCAAGCGTGGCAGGGCCGTTTCTGATTGATCTGCAGGAAAAAGGATGCAACATACAGGACGGCCCAGGTATGTTAATGCTCACTTCCGTCTCCATTGAAGCCCCACTGTGCGTGTTCATTGTTCAGCTTATCATTTCTCTGGAGTTTAAAACCACGAGTACACTCTTTGCCATTCTGCTTGTTCCTCTCCAACTTGTCGTTGCAGTAATTGGGGGGGTACTTTTAGGCGGCATGATGTTTTTTTTCTTTTGTTATGTCCTTTCTATGGAAGCTGAGAAAATTCCCTTGGGGAATGGGTGCTACAAGCGTATGACGCTACGGCATGCGACACATGTGCGCTACGTCGCCCTTCTTTTTTTCTTATTACTTGGGATGGCAATTGTTTCTGTCTCCCGCATTCTGTCGTGCACGGGTGGGGGCATATTTATGCTTCTGGTGATGACCTGTACGTTCAACATTTTGTGTCTGCGTGGTGGCAACAGGGAGTACGGGGCTTTGAGAGGCGAACTGGTGCAGTCCTTTGCCACAGTATGGGATTACGCTGTGATGCCGGCTTTGTTTGCATTTACTGGAGCTGATGTTGAGCTCTACGAGGTTTTTGATCCAAAATATCTTGGCCCGACCATCGGCATCATCTTCGCTGGCATTATGGCTCGCTTTGTTTTTTCAGTGCTGACACCGATAATAACGCGCATGGGTTTCTCATGGAGGGAACTGATCCTCTGCGGTTTTGGATATCTGGGAAAGGGTTCGTTGCAAGGCCCATTGAGCACCGTCGCATTAACATGTGCGTACGCGCATCTTGATGCAGCCAAGTCATTGGAAGAAATAGCCGAGGCGAAGGAGCAGGTGGCGTACTCACGTTTGATAAGGAACGCGGCCGTACTTTCTACGTTGATTGCTTCTTCAATCTGTTCGATCTTCCTTTGGAATTTTGCGGAGAGGCTTCTGAAACCCAAAGTGTAAGATCGAGAGACGTGAATGAGGAGCATGGTGTACATAAACTTTTTTAACCAATATATACATGGAAACGATGAAGAAGTAAACATTGTCACATAATTGAAGAGCCCTCTTCATATTTGATTTGGTTTTGATTTTATGTTGTAGAATGGCCTCTGAATGTAAAGTCCTCCATAAAAGAGGCTGCCGAAAATGAAAAAAAAATATAATAACATATATATATATATATATTTTAAAAAAGCTGATTGAAAGAGTGAGTATGTCAGTTGTCAAGATATATTGATTGTGTTGTTGTAACATTTGTGTTTTGATTGATTCTCGTTTTTTATCATTGAAAGGAAGCATGAATGCAGCATTTTAAAACTTTTTTACAGAAACATTTCTACTGCTGCCCTGACGCCCCAAAGTGGGACTCCTCCTATGTTTCCCGTGTCGTACTCACCTCTAACGTGTACGTGCTGCTTTCTCATCATCATCATCCCTGGTTGTATGTTTCTTCTTTTACAGTAGAAGAAACGTTGGAATGAGCAAAGGGAAGGAAATAGACATCCTCATAAGTAACGTTGAGATTGGCCCCGTCCTGTCTCAGTGCGCGGAATCCAAGGTGTATGAGTGTAACTTTTATGGCTACCGCGCTGTCTGCAAGCACCGTTTTCCTAAAGTGTACCGCCATCCCACGTTGGATCAACGGCTTCGGGAGCAGCGGACGGTGCGGGAGAGCCGAGCACTTGTGCGGTGCCGCAAAAACGGGGTTGTTGCTCCAACAGTCTTTGCGGTCGATCGTGAACGCTGCACCATTGTGATGGAGCGCATCGATGGCCTCACGATACGCGAGGTCTTCAATCAGGAGCAGGAAAAGACTGCACATGGGAAGTCGGTGAATTTTGGTTTAGCCTCACGCCTGTTAAGGGGCATGGGAGAGGTGGTTGGTCTCCTGCATAACACCGACATTGTTCACGGAGACCTAACAACGTCCAATTTTATGTGTCGAAGACAGTTCTTGGAAGAGCAACAGCTCACCGTGGAGGAATTGGCGGCAAGAGGCCCTGATCGTGACGGCATCGTTGTTATAGATTTTGGGTTGGTGATGGACAAGAACAATGCGGAGGAGCGTGCGGTGGACCTGTACGTGCTCGAGCGTGCGGTGATGTCATCCCACCCATTTTTGGAACACGCATCGACGGCACTGGTTCTGGAGGGCTACCGTCGCACCGTGGACGCGCATAAAGGCGCCGCGACCATGGCACGCCTGGAGGCAGTGCGGGCTCGCGGCCGCAAACGGAGTATGGTTGGCTAACAATGGGGGCGGTGTGGCACAGGGAGCTCCCCGGCGATAATCTCGCGCAGACACCTACACACATTTCCTTCACTTGTCACTTTCCCTCACTGATGTTTGTTGTTTGCACGTTCCCCCTCCCCCCACCTTTTTTTTTTTGCTCTTACGCAAAGCAAGAGCAGGCAAGCGAACGAGCTAGCTTCACTTTCCCTGTCAATCATTCAATATATATATTTTCATCCTTTCTGATGACTTTTTTTTTTTGTTGCGTGCGCACCGCATATCCGCAATGAACGACTGCGAGCGACACACACGAAACAAACAAAGAAAAAAAAACGAACCGAGGCAAGCGGAAAAGGAAGATTAGCTGAATACGAACACAATAAGAAATGTGGGACGGCACGTCGGCAGGACGGGCTAGAACACCAATGCCGCGGAAGCCCCGTTCGCCGCCGTTTCTTTTCCCAACCTCTGCCACTGCCGCTACCGCTGCGACAACGAGGAGAGGGGCGACGACGCCTGTGCACCAACGTCAGCTGCAATCAGGCGCCTCAGGGCTTAGTACACCGTCGCCCTCAAAAGCGATTGTGTTTGAGAGGACGCACGCCCCCGTGGTGGAGAATGCAACATTGCCAGAGGAAACTCTCCGCGCGGCACGTCAGACTCGTAGCTTATTTCTTTGCTGTCGTAATCTTTTCTCCTTTAGCCACATTCGCCACCTGGAGCACATGACTCAACTGGTGTCACTTAACGTGCACATGAACGCCATTTCACGCATAGAGTGTTTGGGACATTTGCAGCAACTCACCGAGCTTGATGTGAGCGCCAACGAATTGCGTGCCGTGGACGAAGACGCGTTTAAAGGGCTCCGTCATTTAAAACGTCTCAACCTGTCAAGTAACTTCTTGACGGTTATCAACGGTTTCCAGCATCTTCCGGCACTGGAATGGCTGTCGCTTAGCTTCAACGAGCTTGAAGATGTGCGGGGACTCCGTCGACTACCGTGTCCACAGCAGCTACTTCATCTGGACATCTGCGGGAATAAGCTGGCCGACCTGACGGAGATGGAGAGTTCGCTGGAGAATTGCCGCGAGCTTCAGGATCTTCGCGTGGAAACACCAAAGACGGCGCTGGTTTTGCCGGCAGCACCTCCACAATTGCATCTGCGTGAAAACCCCTTTTGTCTTACGGAGCCCAACTACGCTGAGCGACTACTTCAGCGGTTTCAGCGACTTGTGGTGTTGAATGGGGTCACGTGCGGCTGCAATCCTGCGGCTGAAACACGATGGAGGAAGCATGCAACAACTTCTGCGGACTGCGATGAGCGACTCCGCTGGCACCCGCTTGACATTACTTCTCCTACGCTTGTAAGTCCTAATCTTACTTCGTCGCAGCGGTGTACGGAAGCCGTCACATGTGACGCCCTTTCGGTGGGTGTGGCTCCAGCGAGTGTGCAGTGTGAGGCTGAGAATGCGACGTCTTTGTCGACGTCTACTACGGGCCCTAGTAGCAGTGACAGCCTCTGCCGCAGTGGCCTCAAAAAGGATAGATTGGAGGGTCGTACTGCGTTCCCCGCATGGCGTGCAAAGCGGGTGTCGCGCTCCGTGCTCACAAAGGTGTCTATCCCGCTTTACAAGGAGCTTCATGTCTCAGGCGTGGAGGAGGGAGTACTCCAAGAGGAGCTGCGGGCCAAAGACGAATTTATTGAGCACCTTGAGTTAAAGTTTAAACGCTCCCAAGAGCATCTATCACTTCGTGTGGCCTTGGAAGAAGACATGCGCCGCAGCTTCGAGGATCTGCGACAGTCGCACATTGCCCTTGTAGACTCAACCACCACGGAGAAGAAACGTCTTTGCCGTCAGGTAACGGCTTTGAAAGATGAGCTTTCACGCCGCTCTGAGGAGGCCGTGATTCTGCAGCGAAAAAATCGGGTTGAGCTGGAAGAGCAGGCAAAGGCGTTGCATGCTGATCTGCTGCGACAGCGTAAGGAGTCAGCCGCGGCAGTGAGGCAGCTGGAGGAGGAGGCTGCACGGGTGCGTCGGGAAGCGGGCAACGAAGTCAGAGAACTCAAGACACGCCTTGATGACGCCGCTCAGCGGAAGGAATGGCTGGAGCAGCAGAACGAAAACGCACAGATACAACTGAAGAAGTGGCAGAATGAATCGCATAACAACAAGGCGGCGCTAATGGCGTGCGAAATGCAATTGCAGTTTATTGACAAAAGTCAGCATCTACAGTTAGAGGAGTCTATGACGCGACGCCAGCTGGAGTTTCTCGCATGGAGCAGACTTGTAACCGCGGTAGCCGCGCAACTTCACCTGTTGCAGTGTGAAAATGAGTCTGTCTTGCTCAACCTAGAGAATAGTGCGAAAGCGTGGGAGGAGTACGCCAGTTCGTTGCAGCAGCATTACCGGGATACGCTATTGCAGTCACAGACGACAAAAAAATTATTACCAAAATGCACTGATGCCGGTTGTGATCCGATCGGTGATCATTTTTCGCAGCAGACTGAAAGGGAGGAGGAGGTGCGGCGACTGCAAACCGCCCTCTCTCTCACTCGTCAGTCGGAGCAGCTATTGTCCGTTGAAAATGAGCGTCTCTTGAGTTGTGTGGCGGACAAGGAACGCGGGTTAGCGGAGGCGTCGCAGCAGCTTCAGCAGTCTGACGCAGAGGCACGAAAGATGAAAGAGGATCTGGAGCGGGAGCGTGACAATCTGCTGCGTACTCTCCACAATCTACGCGAGACGATACAAAACAAAGATGCCGAGTTTGACGCGCTGGAGGCGGAGGCTAAACAGAAGATTGACGAGAAGCGATCTACCATTGCCAAACTGGAGACACGCCTTGAGGATGCAGAGGAGGAGGTGGCTAATCACCGCCACGAGGCCGCAAACCTCCGCGGGGCACAGGAGGAACTAAGGCGCGTCACTGCAGAGCTTCAGGCGGTGCAGCGGGAGCGTGTGGCGGCTGCAGCCACAGCCTCAGCGGCGCCATCTTCTCATGTGACAGATATTGTGGAGGCGTTGGAGGCTACAAAAGAAAAACTCTCGTCTTCTGTAGTGCGGGAGCATCAACAGTCTTTGAAGCTGGCACGGGCTGCGGAAGCCTTGACACTTCTGCGTAGCCAGCTGGCGCGGGTGGATGAAGATAATCGTCGTCTTCGAAAGGAGCTTGACGAGAAGGTGACTTTGCTACGTGCATCAGAAGCGGAGAAGGACCAGCTGCAAGCACAGTGGAGGGAAACACAGGAAGCAGCTCGCGTTCGACAGCGGGCAACACTGCAGGCGATTTCCCAGATTATGGTAAGTGATACTGAGTCTGGACACTGATAGATGTCCATTGCTTGTAAGATGACGGGATGGGGTTGGGTGTATTTTTCGTATGTATTGTTTTGCCCTTCCTTTACTGTTCAATTCTCTACAGTGTTTAAGTGAATTCTTTACCCATTCCATAGAGAGAAGGGGGAGGGGGTCCATAGACCACGCACACAGTGGGGGCAGTTGTGAGCTACAACCTTTGTTGTGTTCATGTTGGTGGCATTGTTTTCATTTGGATGTTGTACGAAAAGAACATGAGAGGCGCCTGTGCTTCGGCGTCACGTACCAGTATTTGGCTCTACATGGAACCTTCTCTGGTTTTGTTATGCCTCTTTTTTTTTTCTTTCTATACGTTTGTTGCGTTATATATATATAACAATAATACGTGATTTCGTGCGGGTGTCTTGTTTGTGCGTGCCTCTTACTCATTCTTCTTGGTAGCTCTGCTTTTGACGCATTGTTTCTTCCCCCGTCCTGACCTTATTTCCCTTCCCCAAATTTTATTTGCGTGGTGGCCGTGGTGGATGAAAAAAAGAGCGGTAGACGTGGGTTGCGGCGGCGCCCTTCATTCGCCGTAATGATGTCATTTGGTGGGATGCGGCGATTTGTCGTCGCTGGTAGATGCGGCAGTGCGCTCTCGAACAGTCTCGCCGCTGCAGTGGCGGGTGCCAACTCCCCCGCAGGCGCTACACCGGCGTTGATGACGGTGACGAGAGGACGTTTCTACCGGCCTCTTGTGAACCAGGGCATTAATCTCTGGCGTTACCGCATGGGCCGTCTCCACAAGGGCTGGAACACGTGGGAGTACCAACACACGCGGCCGGACCCGCGGCCCTTTCCGGATCCTCCCGTCAATGACTACTTTGGCCGCTCCCGCCTCTGGAACCCCATCGCCGGCAAGATGGGGTACGTCAGAAAGAAGGCGGAGGAGTGGGGGTGGCCGCATCAGCGCCCCCCACCGACAGGGCTTCGGCAATCGCAGGAGTATTTTCCCTTCTTCTTTGCTCGCTACTTTCCCGACGCGGAGGTGCGGTTAGTCCTAGACAGCGTTATCAACAACGAGACCACCCACCCGATGTTTTACGTTCCAAGTGACATGTCCAGGGCGGAGATTGTCAACTACCTCAAAAACATTTACGGTGTGGACAACGTCGTGCGAATTCGGGTGCGAAACACGCGAGGTCGCCGCTACAAGAACGAACTGGGCGAAATCAAAGTGATGGATGACCACAAAATTGCCATCGTCGAGTTAGATTCCCCCGTTTCCGTGGACTTTAAGCAAATCAAGGGGACAGAAGATACTCCTGACAACAAACCTCAAACGCAGATCAGTGGATAAAAAAAAGAGAAGAAAAAAAAACGCGGAAGCTTCTTGAAACTGTTTTATGCGAAGGCGTTGTCTTTTTTTTTTTTTATTGCGGCGTCACTTTTTGCTTCATCTTTGTGGCAGTTGTTGCTAGTGGCGGAAGGAATACGCGTCATTCTTATGTCTGTTTTTTTTTTTTTGTTGTGTGTGTGTGTTGTTATTCTATTTCTGTGCGTATGTGCATTGTTGTTTATTTTGCACTTTTATTTTTGACCTGAGCGTCTTTCTTCTTTGCTTTTGAATAGACACACATAGTTTCCTCTTTTGTTTTTGCGTACTACTTTGTTATTATTATTATGCTTTACCACCGCTACGCTGGGCCGGTTGGCGGTTGCGCATGCACGGGAAAACGGAGGTATTGACTTCCTTGGAAGACTGCCGCGAAACGGTGACGAAAGTTGGGCTACTGCCTGGTGACGTCGAGAGTCGCTGGTGCACATATGCGGTGTTGACAGAGCGTCTGGGTTTGTTGCAATTGCGTGGGAGAGCCCCAGGCACTCGGCTGGGCGAGCTCAGGGAGGAATGTGGGGCGATGGGCCACGGCGAGCCAGAAGGAAACTGGGAGAGCAAAGGCGTGTTAAGCTCAAGGCATAGGGAACGACGCGAAAGCTCAGAAGGTGACCTCCCTTGGGAAACATCCGTTCTCATCCTACCCTTTGTATGCGGCTTCCAGCGTGAAAAGCAAGCCGTCGCTCTCGCCAGTCAATGGCAGCAGTCCACAACAGTTTGTCCGCTTCTAGGGAGGTGGCTCTAGTTTATCCACTGCCTCTCCAGCTGGTCTTGGTGAGGTGCGTGGAGCGGGGTAGTCGCCATCTCCGCCCACAGTCATCATGGAAGTCATAGATTCTGGCGGAGCCGCATCGTGCTCAGTCGCAAGAGGCATTCGTGCCTCCGTCACAAGCGAGGACGGTGGGCCGCTTACAGAGGAGACAGAGCCGCACCCTAAGGCTTCACCGGTTGAGGTTGCTGCCACACCGCAAACGCAGCGCGACGCAACGGCGATGATTACAATGGGCAGCAGGAACAAATCTCTTTTTTGGTGAATCAGATCCAGCAAATCAACGTGCCGGCTCGTTTCGCATCACCGTCTGTCAATTTGCTTGGGCGAATCCATGAGGGTCCATGTAACCAGGAGGAGCCAGAGGGCAAGACTATTTTTTGTTAAATAAAAATGGCATTCAAGCAAAAGAATCTACAGAGGTGGGGGACGTTTCTGTAGTCGTGGACGCCGGCAGGAGCAGCCGCCACCACGTTTAACAGATTCACCATTCGAAAATAATGGAACTGCCACTATTGTTTCAGTGGCAGGTTAGGCGTCGATGACACCCATGTTTTTTACGGCACACAAGGCTCCCTCTCTGTTATCTTAATCATTATCGCCACAGGGGTCATCAGCTGTCTCGCATCTCAAGTTCTCCCAGTCTGCCGTGGATTATGAAGAAGAGGCACGCAAGATGCTTCAGAGAGGGGAATTGAAAAAAGTGAAGGGCGAAAAGGGGGAGGCCTTACTACTACCATTCCAAAGAAAGGAGGTTGTGTTGGAACCTGGCAAAGGGGCTCCGTCATTTAGTGGGTGCGTCAGAGAGTTGAGAAGTGTGTGATGTGCCACCTACATGTATCTTGTTGTTTGCTTGGTTCTTTACATGCCGCTTTTTTGGCATGTTTTCCTTCTGCGTCGGAGGGGGAGGGGGTAGAAAGAGGGTTACGTGGACTTTCTTCTTAGTCTGCTCAAATGAGGAAACAACAACAAAAAAAAAAGGATTGGACATAATACTCTTTTTATCGAGCACTTCTTGCGTTGTTGTTGTTGTTGCTCACTCACTGTGGGGGTTTGTGTTTTATACTCTTCTGGTTTGTTTCTCGGCGTAGCTCTGTGAACGCTTTATTATTTATCCAAGAAAGAAACTAATTAAGAATAACTATGTCTTACAAGCCGCACCACCCCACTGTGCCGACCAACCCGAAGGTTTACTTCGACATCAGCGTTGGTGGTCAACCTGCTGGGCGAATTGTGTTTGAGCTCTTTGCCGATGCCGTCCCCAAGACAGCTGAGAACTTCCGGGCTCTCTGCACGGGTGAGAAGAGCTTTGGCTACGCCGGAAGCGGCTTTCATCGCATTATCCCCCAGTTCATGTGCCAGGGCGGCGACTTCACCAACCACAACGGCACTGGTGGCAAATCCATCTACGGCGAAAAGTTTCCGGACGAGAGCTTCGCTGGGAAGGCTGGCAAGCACTTTGGCCCCGGTACGCTTTCCATGGCAAATGCGGGACCCAACACCAACGGGTCTCAGTTTTTCATTTGCACCGCCCCCACACAGTGGCTTGACGGCAAGCACGTCGTGTTTGGCCAGGTGCTGGAAGGGATGGACGTCATTAAGGCGATGGAGGCGGTTGGCTCCCAGACGGGCAAGACGAGCAAGCCGGTAAAGATTGATGCCTCTGGCCAACTTTAAAACGTCCCTCTGCACATGCCTCTGAAGGGACAAATAACCGATAAAAGGAAGGACGCAAATGGGATGGGGTTCACGGTGAAATTAACAGGGCAACCAGAAAAAAATTGAAATGAAATGAGGAATAAAGAGTAACGAAGGATTGGAAGCCCGATTTGTATCAGATCCAGCCCATCAGAGGCCAATAAAACTAGGAAGCAGAGCAAGCTGAAGGGTGCCCCCACGAAGAAGAGGGAAAAATAAAAGGAAAGTGGGGGGTTCATTTGTTAGTGTGCTTTGTTTTGTTTTGTTGAGGCCTAAAAGAGATGAACGAAGAGAGCAGGAGGTAAAAGGGAAACAGACGTGTTGGCATGCGCGTTTTGAAGGAAGGGAGAGAAAATGGGGAGAAAAAAAAATGGGGCAGATAATTATACACCTTTTATCTAATCCTGGGGGAGGGTGGTGAAACGCACCCAAAGCCATTCTGAGGAGGGTGATGCTGTGGAGGGCACGCGGTCGTCTCGTGCGGCGCGTGCTGATTGGGTAGAGATGGAAGCAACCTTGCCATCCATTATTCTTTCGTTTTATTGTTGTTGTGTGGATTATTATTATTTATTTATTTCTCCGCTTCACTTTTGCCGTGGCATTGTTGTATAGTGTTGTTTTTGTTTGTTTGCCTGGCAGTAGCATCGGTTTATAAACCGTCACAGGCACACACAACAGGGGGAACAGAAACAACGTTTTTGGCGAACGGTGGGAGACGGGGGGTGGGCAGAAGCACACAGCAGCGTGAAACAACAACACCTCACACGGACGCAAGCAAAAGCAAATAAGAGCGGATCTTGCACTACCACAAAAGCAGGAGAAAAGTTTCTGGATGCAGACGAGGAACGCGGCTGTGCGCATCTTTGGCGGGAGTCTTTGCCTTCAGGGGTCTTGCCGATGGAGTTACCACCACTCTTCAAGGTTGTCGAGTGCAACATCCCACGCAAACAGCATGAACTTGTTGTCCACACAGCTGCACCCCTTCTCGTCCGTCGCCGACTCTTTTCTCTCAAGCGCAGGGAAGGGACTGTCTCACGATGTGGCAGAAGTTTTTATGGAACCCATTGGAACATCGCATCCCGCTCCTGCGGGAGTCCGTTATTGTGATGGAAATGACAGGATGGAGCAGGAAGCGAGTGAATTATTCAAAGTGTTGAACACCTGCATTGATGCTCCCGCGGCGACGCTATTCGAAAAACTTATTGCATCTACTGCAGGACTCTACAAGAAATCGCCTCGTCGCTACTGGTCTCTGCACAGCCGAGCACTGACCAACTATGGGGTTCAGTGCCTTGTTGATCAAAAGCCCACTCAAGCCATTGAACTGATTCGACAGGCGGTTTCAATTATTGTATCTTTTGAAGGGGAAACGGCTGTGTTGCACCTGCGAGTGATCCTGGCAAATGCCCTGGCGTGTGAGGGGAAATGTTTTGAGGCACTGTGTGAGTATGAGCAGGCGCTTGGGGTGATGAGGGATTACCCAGTGGAGCCTTCGTTAACTCAAGTGGTGTCGGGAAAGGAGTCCCGCATCTTGCTTAGTCGCAGTTATGTTTTAGAGGACTTTGATCGTTTCCTGGCAAACGAGGAGTTGGTGCAGAGCGCACTGAACCAGGGGAAACAAGCAGCGGATTTCTCCTCGGACAAGGCCGAGAAGGTGCACATTATGTGGATATTGGCTCGTATTCAGCGTCGACTTGGGGAAAAAGATGCAAGTCTGCTTCTGTACACCGCCTGTTTACGCGCGCTGCTTGACACACCGGATGCTGAAATGGAGATGAAGGTGATGCACGATATAGGTATCTTGCTATGCTTTGAGGCGTTTGATGTTTCACAGGGATTACCGTATCTTCAGGCAGCGGCGGAGATGTCCTTTGACACCGCACTGGAGAAGCTAGAAGAGATGAAGCAGCAACCCTCGGCGAAGGCTCAGAAGGGATTTCCCAAAGAGGCTATGCTTCCCGTTCGCCGTGCCGCCTTCACTTTGCTTGACGCAGCAGTGTGTCTTGCAGAGAATGAAGAGTTAGGAAAGGCCCTGGGATTATTTGAAGAGAGTATCGCCTTGATGAATGATTGTGGGATGCAGAAACATTCTGCCTGGGCATGTTTGAAGTACGCGGATGCTCTCACTCATGCCTCACTAATCGACAAGGCTATCCGTGTGTACCTGGAGACCATAGAGTCCATCCGATCCCGTGAAAACGACGAGGGAAATGTGCAAGTGGCATGTATGGGTATGGTGGTCCCAATCACTGCGGCGGAGGTGGAGGGGCGTCTTGCATATTGCTTTCAGATGCATGTGGGGGAGTATCGACGCGCCTGCATCCACTTTTGCCGTGCAATCCGGCGTTGTGGCGTGCATGTGGAGTCGGCTTTTAGAGCTGTTGAAGAAAGTAACCCAGTTTCTTCAGAGGAGTTGGACTCAGAGACGCTCTGCTGGATGCTGGAAAACTACGCTAGCTGCTGTGAGCGGGTTGGCCGTAGAGACATTGCCGAGGAGGTTTTAGAACGTCGAGTGAGCGTCGAAAGATCTCTTGGAGGATCTTGTTGCTCGGCGCTGTTGCGTCTTGCGCAGCTGCACGGAGTAGCCAACGCGGCTAAGGCGATAGAGCTTTATATTCAGCTTCTTACCCTACCCGAGGATGGGATTGAACCTGACGTCTTGCTGCAAGCCGCATATGGGTTTGCCAGCATTTGTTACAGTTCCAAGGACGAAGATCTGGAGCTTGCTCTTACCAAGGTGACGGCAGCGACGGAGAGAGAAGGGACAAAAAGCCCTGTCACCGACGCGTCTCTCGACGGGGCTGCCCTCCCAAATCCCAACAACGTCGTCATTGCGTCGTTTAAAAGGTCTGCCAGAGTTATTATGGCAAGTCACGCGGTGGACAGGACGAAATCCAATGACAGCAGTGAGGATGAGTTGAAGGCTCTCATGACACTTAGCCGGGGCGGTTTTTTTTGTCAGCGGCGTGGTGACGATGCGGGGGCAGAGGAGCTTTACCGCCTTGCCGTGGAATACACACTACTTGTGGACGTTAAGAATGACGAGTACGCCCGTGAGCTTGCCATTATGTTAGCCAACTACGCCACTGTAATGGCCCACAAGAGCATTGAAAAGGCTCAAGAGCTCTACAATCGGGCCGTGGAAACGTGTCCAACTGAGGAAAACGTTTCAGCCGCCGCAGCTTCCTTCTTTGTCTTGACAGCCAACTACGCTGGTGGTCGGAAATGCATTCAGCGTATGATTGACGCCGTCACTGATTGTGCGGTTATTCCGCGGCTGTATGGCAAACTGGCCTGGCTTGGCGTGGTTTGCTGGGATGATCTGGCACCACCTGTGCGCCAAGAGTGCCTTCAACACTTGCTGCTCGCCTTGGGTCTAGAGTCGAGTAACTTGAGTTTGCTTTCCACAGTTTTCCAAGTGACACCATTAAACAGTTCTGTGGGTATTATATTTAAGCAAAATTTTCTTGCTGGTATATCCTCATCCCCCGACCAAGACACGGTGAGCCTTGCCTGTTACGTGGCACAGACCAAGTTGCCTCATGATGGAAGGTTTATTAACACCTGCTACAAGACAGCCTTGGGTCGCTTTTCTCAGAGCACAACTATACTTGTGAATTACGCCAAGTTCTGTGCGGATTATGCTGCTGTAGCGCTTGCCCGCAAGTACTATGCGACGGCGTTTCGTTACTCGCACAAGGACTCACGCAGTACCGATTGTTACGCAGAATATCTTGCGTTTTTGCAAGAAGGGGAACAACAGCGGACCCAACGAGAGCAATTGGTGGCCGGAGAAAGCCTTGCACGATACCAGATGGAGCGAATTACCCGTGACTTGAGCAGTCATGTTTGGGGTCAGGCCTTTGCTCTTTATGGTAAATACCTTGCGACATTTATGCCCTCGCCAAGCGTTCCTGTGGTTCTTTTTGAAGAGGCGTTAAAACAAAATGCAGCAGATTCCCGCGCCACAGCCCTTTACGGTTCATTCTTATGGAATGTATGTCTTCCTGCACTTGACACAAGGTGCACGGCTGACGTCAAAAAACAGCTTGCGGGGAAGGTGGAAGCCCTGTATCAGAAGGGCTTGAGTCACCAACCCCAGAGCACCCTTTTGCTGACCTCATTGGGTTCCTTGTATGTAAGTATGGGAAATAGATTTGACGACGCTGTACGTGTTCTAGAGCAGGCGCGAAAGCTGAGCCCGCATAACGTGGCGGTGCATCGCCTCTTGTGTGCCGCCTTTCATGACGAGTGGATGAAGGAGCAAAAGAGAGTTACTGTAAAGAAGAATTCACGTTTGCAAACCTTGTTGGAAGCTACGCGTCAGCTGTACGAACGATCCGTCCAATTGGATCCCTCGGACAGGTTGACACTGGCAAGGTATTGCCAATTTGCTCTGCACGGGCTTCAGAACGCGGACTTGGCGGCTGAGCTGATGCAGCGGTTGCGGGAGCTCTCAAAAGCATAGCACATACGCACGTTTCATTTATGTGCACGTGTTTTTTTTTGATCTTATTCCGTTGCTTTTTTTCTTGTTTGCCGAGCGTTTCACTTTTTTCACGTATCTTTCAATGTGTGTCATCTATATATACATGCATATATATATATATATATATAGT